GCAGCATTTTTCATAGTGGCCCCAAATGTTGATCATCTGATGAATAGATAAACAAAATGTTGTACATCCATGCAACGGCAAATCATTTAGCCATAAAATAGAATGGTCCACTTATCAATGAATACAAGGTGTAGCCAGAGATAAGTTTATAATGGTAGTTTATTAGGGGAAAATACTCAAGCAAGGACGGACCCAGAAATACTTACCAGTCTGCTCAGCCTAGCGAGAGCCTCTCCCTTGCTCTTAAACCTCTGTTACATACCTGTAACCAGGGTTACTCCCTACATTGACTGATGCAGCATGGGTGAGTATTTATTGAATGAGGTCTCTGTAGCCCTGGCTGTCCTGGAACTTGTGGTATAGACCAGACTGGCCTTGAACTCACAGTGATCCTTCTGCCTCTGTCTCCCAAGTGCTGAGATTAAAGGTGTGTGCCACCACACCTGACTACATGAGTCTTGAAAATAGGATGCTAAGTGAAAAATAACAGACATAAAAGGCCATATATTGTCTGATTACATTTATATATATGAAACAAAGGACCAGAATAAGCAAATCCATAGTGACAGGAAATAGAATTGTAGTTGCTAGGAATTCTAGAGGGGGCAGTGAGGGCAATGACTAATAATGAATGCAGGAGATTTGAGGAAGATGCAAATGATCTGAAATTAGATTGTGTTCCTTGCACAAAATTGTGAATAATCTAGAAACAAAACTGAATTGTGTGTGAGTTATATCTCAATAAAAACACCACCTTTCCATACCATAGTTAGGGATAACTGATTTCACATATGTTGTTACTCAAAATGGGCATCTGAATTTAAAAGCAAGTTATTTAATAAAGAAAACCACAGCTGGAGAAGATTGCCTGGTAATTAAGAGTACTTGTTGTAGAGAACCTGGCTTCAGTTCCTAGCTTTCACATGGTGGCTCAGAACTGTCTGTAACTTTAGTTTCAGATTACCCGATGCCTCTGGCCCCTGAGAGCAACACATATGTGTGTGGTTCATGTATGTACATGTAGGCAAACACTGCTACATATAAAAAAAACTTGTTAAAAAAATTCCTCAAAAAAAAAAAAACCTCAAATATTAAGCAGTATTGAGTTTTCATTTGGAAGAGGGACCAGTGCTGGCTAAGACTGCTTTGTTAGCCATTGGCATTGTTAGGGGAGGAAATGGGCAAGTGTCCTTTAAGGTAAATAGTAGGCTAGTGAGCCAGCACTAGTTAGCCTGCTTGATGGGGCCCTGGTATGCTAGCTTGCTGGCTGGCCAGGCTGCTTTCTCCACCACTGTCTCTAAGCCTTGCCAAAGCTCTCTTCTCCTTCCATGAGACAGTGGCTCAGTCTCCTTTCTCTTGGGCAGGACCACAGGAGGGGTACTTGAAGCCCTGCCTGCTTGTCTGCTCACCAGCTATCTGGAGTACCTACTTGAGTCTGTTGTCTTGTGTGAGGTGCTGTCCTTAACCCAGAAAAAGGCATGTCTTACGTGCTCTAAAATCCCTTGTATTTAGTGGCCTTGCCTCCTACTGTAGAAGGTGTCTGTCATCTACTGTCAGCTGAACTGTCAATATATCTATGTCATGACATCATGTTGTAAAATGGGATGGCAAAAATAGTTTAAAATACAGTGCAAAATCACTTGTATCTTAGGAATGAACAGTTCTGGAAACATGCCCCTATAAATGTTCAGCATAGATGTGCCTTGAGACACACTGTATAGCGCTGTGCTGATAGTGGTGATCTGGAAGTGCTCCAAGTGCTCCAGGTATCATCCACAGACAGAAGTGGAGAGAGAGAGAGAGAGAGAGAGAGAGAGAGAGAGAGAGAGAGAGTGTTAGGCTCACAAATTACTTGCTTGAAGGATATACCATGTATGGAGTGACAGGGATGAAGCTTAGACACAAACAAGTGGTTGTTTAGGCTTTCCATGTGAGGTATAGTTGTTATTATAATAAAGCAAGGGACTAGTCACATTCATGGTGGGGACTGCTTACATATAGTCCCAGCTACTGAGGAATCTAGCTTGAGCACAGGCATTTGAGATTAGCCTGGGTGACATAGTACAAACTCTCCACTTTCCCCCAGTAGCGTTTCTCTGTGTAGCTCTGGCTGTCTTGGGATTCACTCTGTAGACCAGGCTGTCCTCGAACTCACACAGATTAAAGGCCACCACCGATAAAAGCCCCCCCCCCCGGGGTTTTTTTTTTTTTTTTTTTTTTTTTTTTTTTTAGTATGTTTGTCAAGATAGTTAAGTTAGTAAAGGCTGCACGACAAGTAGATAATCTAGAAGCCATGTAATGGTATAAGGGGAGAATCAATTCCAAAAAGTTGTTCTTTGACCTCCTTGTGTGTTTTGCATGTGTGCCCATATACCCACACATACAAATAATAAAGTAGATAAACAGCAAGGGATTGAAGACCCAGACCCCAAGCTGTTACTTCAAAGTGGAGAAGTGGGTAGAGAAGCAGGTCTTCCTTCGATCTGTTCTTTAGGCCTTGAGCGCCATGGTACCCCAGGCTCACTTGCTTTGTGTTGCACATCTGGTTTGCCCACAAGCTCTTGTTTGTACCTAGCATACCTAATAGAACATTATGTAACCAGAAAAGCAGCAAGAAGATAAGAGTGCTTGTTCTCTCCTTTCTTGGGGCTACCAGTGCTGATATTTGACAGTAAGAAAGAGAGACCATGTATGGTGTCACAAACCTTTAATTCTGGCACTTAGGAGGCAGAGGCAGAGATTTCTTCAGTTTGAGGTCAGTCTGTTCTAAAAGTAAGACCCTGTTTGCAGAAGAATAAATAAAAAGAAGGGCTGATGAGATGGTTGAACAAGTAAAATGCACTTGTAGCCAACTCTGACAATCTGAAATCTTGGAACATACTTTGTAGAAGTAGAGAGAACTGACTCTTAAAAGGTGTCCTCTGACCTAGACACAGACACACACTGCATGTGTGCATGCACTCAACTCATGCATGCCAGTCAGTGCTGAACAGTAATAATTGGGTACCAGAAAGGGAAGTTTACATTCTGGTATCTGGAAGCTTCCTGTTTCCCTGTGATGTTTAGATGATAAAGACAACTTCACAGGAGCCATGTGGACTTCTCAGGCCCTCACAGTCCAGGTGGGTGCTTTAGCAGAAGATAATCACAACAGCCAAAGAGAATCATTTCCTAAGAATGTAAGTTTGGGAAAACAAATTATTTTAAAAACATGATCTCAGTAGATAGCCTAGGTAGTGTCAAACTGAAGATGATACTGGGCTTGACAAAAATTCTTGATTGTTTTTAGAGCCTGTGTGGTGGTCTGAGACCCCACTGTGTTGTAGTCTGACCTGATCGGCTTCAGGGGAAGGCATTCTCTGAAGAGGGTCAGAGCTTTTCCAGGACTGGCTATACTGGATGGATCTGGGAATTCCAGGTCCTGATCCTGGCTAGGCAGGAAACAGTTGCTCACCAGCCACAGCCTCCAAACACCCAAACAAGACTGTTTTTCCTAGGCCTGAAGTTCAGATTCAGCCAGGAGAAATTAGTTCTTATGACTCTGAGTAGTGGATTTGTCTAAAGCCACAAATAATAAAAACATGAGACCAGAAAGCCAGGCATGGTGGGAGGCAGAGGCAGGTGTGGATCTCTGAGTTTGAGGCCAGCCTGGTCTACAGAATGAGTTCTAGGACAACCAGGGCTATACAGAGAAATGTTGTCTTAGGAGAGAGAGAGGGGAGGGGGGAGGAAGGGATGGAGGGATGGAGGGCTGGAGAGACGGAGAGACAAGACCAGAAACCTGAGGTTGGAGATCATGCTGGTGCTGCTAGTGCTGGCAATGTAGTTTGGGGCTAATTATTTACCCTTTCTAGAACTCTTCCAGTTTTGTTGACTGCAGTCAGAACAAGGAGAATGCGCCATACCAGGTCTGGGTGGAGGTATCTCCAGGCTGCCTCCCTCTGCCTTTTTGGGGGGAGAAATTTCAATGTTGCCTCCTGCCAAGTGTCTTCAGGACCTGTGAACACCTCCTTGTACCCTGCATGTGTCTCTGGGCCAGCGGATACCTGTCATTTGCTAGCCTCTTTCAGCAGCAGCTGGTATTGCTTTTGTTAACCAGAGAAGCTAGAAATTCACTGTCCTTGGGCCACATATCAAGATGTATAGTCCGTTGTGGGAGGAAGAACTGTCTGGCTGAGCCTGTACATTGCCAGACAGACCAGCTAGCAGGACCACCAAGTATACGCTAGGAGGGTACAGCGTGACCCCAGGTTCAGACCCTGGGCTCAGGGTTATAGCAGGTGTTTGTTTTGTAGTGAGTACATACTCAACAGATGGCGTTACTGTCTCTAAGCAGTTTATCTTTGGGCAGTGCAGCAGTTCAGAGGGGCCAGATTGATTGAGCCGAGGGAGAAGCAAGAGTCTTCAGAATGAAGACATCTAGACTTTCTTTTGGCTTCTGTGTTGTTTACTTACTGAGATTGAGGCACCAGGTGCTGTACTAGGCACTGAGAGACAGTGTTGAGATTGGTGGGGTTCTGTTGTAACAGTATA